AAAGATTAAAGACAATTATAAAACTCTTTTACTTCTCGTGTACAAATATGTACGACGCCAATAAAAAACATGTTATTCTTAGATTGATGAAGTACTTTTTCACTCTATTAGAGTCGTTAATCCAGATAGTTTTTAGTACTTTTCAAGGAAAAAAAAACACGTGTCTGTAGCGATTCCTAGTAAGGAGATTTCCGCTCTATGCAAAATGAAAAGTGAAAGCTAAAATTCTTTCCAGCATATCTAGTTATTTTTAGTTTTCTAACTAACCATTTTTAATACAATTATAAAACTCTTTAACTTCTAATCTATATACTCATGAAGTCAATGAAAATCAGGTTATTCAGGCATAAAACAAGTACATTTTCACACTATATAGATACTTTCACCGAATTAGTTTTAGCACTTTTCAGGAAAAAAAACACAGGTTAGTCTTAGAGTCGTGAAGTACCTTTTCACGCTATTAGATTCATTAATCCAACTAGGATCAGTTGGTTCCCAGTACTTTTCAGGAAACAAAATAACGTCAATTATAAAACTCTTTAACTTCCAATCTATAAACTCATGAAGCCTATAAAAACGGTTTATTCAGGCATAAAACAAGTACATTTTCACACTATTTAGATACTTTAACTGAACTAGTTGTAGTACTTTTCAGGAAAAAAAAACACAGGTTAGTCTTAGATTCCTGAAGTACCTTTTCACGATATTAGATTCATTAATCCAACTAGTATCAGTTGGTTCCCAGTACTTTTCAGGAAACAAAATAACGTCATGAATAATGTTATGAACTATTAACTAATGGTTTCAAAAATGAGTTAAAAAATTAACTTAACACGTGTCCACAAATATCTTGGCTACGAAAAATTCCTCTGAGAATGGTAATTAATTGTGGAAGCTTACAATTCTACCTTTAGAACAAAAGTTATTATTATGACATTTTTTTCAACAAAACATTCCTTAATCTAGCTATAAAGTTCTTTAAGTTTTCATACATTAACCATATGACGATAATGAAAAAAAAAATCTATTCTTAGATTCGCTTAATATCTTTTCACGGAACAAGATTCATTAACTCAACTAGTTCTAAGTAAGTACTTTTCATAAAAGAGTTTAACGTTGGGGAAGTTGTTGCTATCCGTATTGCTCTCGAACAGCTTTCTTGTTTTATTGAGTCTTTTTCAAATGTGGTTGTCCTTTCTGACTCGAAGGTGGAGCTTTGCTCGATTGAATCTATGCATTGCCCTTCCACTTGCGATGTTCTAAAATGTCAGGATGCTCCACCAATTTGGTAAAACTGCAACCCTACAATGGATTCCCGGTCACTGTGATATTGCAGGAAATGAGAGGGCTGATGTTTTGGCAAAGAGAGGCACTAGAATTCTCCAGGCTCTTAGTAGCCCAGTCCCCTTTACAACTTTAAAAAGGATTGTTAGATCAAAAATCAATGGGGATTTCCATCACCAATTGTCAGAAAGGGTAAAAACCAAAATGTGGAGTGATCTTCGGCAGAACACCATTCCATACTGGCCTCGCCGTGAAGCGGTGGCTCAGCTTCGACTATATACCGGACATGACTGCCTAGCCGCGCACCTGTTTCCTTTAGGGCTGGCACCTGATCCCTATTGTTCTCTGCACAAGAACCAAGCTGTTTTGGATGGCAGCCGCATCCTGTGCTGCGGGTCGTCGTCTACCGAACGATATTGGGAAGCAAGAGCGCTCCTGAGGAAATGACTTTTTACTTTCTAGTTTCGTTCCCATGTTTTTGCTTTTTGACATGTCAATTCACCTCTACCATTTGAAATAAATAAATAATTCCAAATGGATCCGTCTTTGTTGAATTGTTTCCGTCACTAATTTGTTTTCCCATAGTGAATCGGAGATGTGATCTATTGATGGTCCCTGCCAGTTTTAAAAGTCTTATTTTTTCGTACATGCCCATCGGTCTATGTAGGAGTCAGGGAACTGACCTTGCATCAGAAAAGTTCTGGGCTCGAATCCCGGGCAAGGCATGGATGCTCTTTCCTACTCTGTACTATCTGTTCTTACTGTTCTTACCTTCCCTGTACTATCTGCCCTTACTGTTCTTACCTTCCCTTTACTATCTGGGCATATAATATGGTGCCCCTTAAAGAGTGGTCCGCAAATCTGCCCTTCAGATACCTGTATGACGAAAGGTCATTCTCCAGATGGGCATTGTAAAAAAAAAAATCATAACTTTTGTATTTCGTTCTTTTGTACACAGTTGGATATGTTGAACTTGGGTTTTACTTAATTTTTATCAGATGCTTTCGTATTTTCGGATTTTATTATTATTGTTTTTAGTTTTTTTTATGTTTAGTTATTTAATTGAACTCAATTATATTTTTCAAATTAAAATGTTTTCTACTTCTTTTCAATTTAAGTTAAATAAAGCAATTTTCAATTTATTTTATTCCATATATAATGGTATTTGTCCTTTTTATTTGATAAAGTAAGGAGTAGAGATCCAAATAGTATTTGTTTTATTCCAAATAGATCCGTCTTTGTAGGATTGTTTCCCTTGCTGATTTGTTGCTCCATAGTGACTCGCAGAAGTGATCTATTGATGGTTTCTGCCGGTCTGGGTTTTAAAAGACTTGTTTAAGTTTTGTATTCTGCTCCTTTGTATTCAGTTGGATTCGTTGAAATTCAGTTCTACTTACTTCTCACCAAATGTTTCTGTTTGTTTGGGTTTTATATTTTATTTAGTTTCATTTTTATTCTCAAGTTCAATTTTTGTAATTGAATTTAATGGTGTTTTTCAAATTATAAACACTTTTTCACTTGTATTTATTTCAATTTTGCGGAATCAGTTTTGAATTGTTTTAATTACATTTATTTTATGTTATTTTAAATTCAAGTTACAGATATTAATTTTAGTTTGTTTTATTTTAATTATTTTTATCCAATTCATTTCAATCAATCAATTTTTTAATTTAATTTAAATTAACTTTTTTTTTCCATTCTCATTAATTTTATTGTTACTGAAGTTTTTTTAAATAACTTATTTTCATAATGAAATTTATTTGTCAATTTTTATTTATTTTAATTGCTTAAAGTTAGATTAATCTACTTTGTGCTTGATTGATTTGTTGTATCCGCATTTCTGTACTGATTTGTTTTTCGACAGTGAATCGGAGCTGAATCTCATTGTTTCTGCGAGTGTTTGTTTAACATTTTGGTAGGTTCTGTATTGTCTCTCGCTTTCTCTCTCATTTTTTTGTTATGTAAAAGTTATTAGTCAAAGATACTATTATATATCTAGTAAAATTTAGTTTCGATGTATTTAACTGAGCACAACACAATTTATACATCCGTATTACTCCTAACAGAATATTAGTAATCTTATCAACTTACGGTGAAAAGTACCGATTCTCAGGGACCAATAATTTTTATTGTAAAATTTTAAGGAACAAAACATCTGATACTCTAAATTTTACAGCAATATTTACTAGTGTAACTTTACTGAATTGAATAAATATTACTGTAAAAATTACTGTAAACTAAATTTTACACGCTAAGGAAAAATTCTGATAAAATTGCAATACTGCTTGGTAATACATTTTTGGTAAGAAAAATTCATAATTCTCGTAAATATTTCCTAATTGTACAGTATTTGAACCATTTATTTGATGTTTTTTTCCTTCAAATTGTATCGGTAGCTAGAAATTCTGGTTTTCAAAATTATAATTCTTATTACCACACATTTAGTAAACAATACAAAAACTGAAAATTAAACTAACCAAATAAATGGCTTTTATGTCATGCACATAAGGTATCATGATAAAAAAATCACATTTAATCCCTTAGGATAAGTTAAATTACATGTTATAAAACCATGCTTTGTTGTTAGTTTTAACAAAGAGCTTTGATTAAAATAAAAGAGTTTTTTGATGTCCCATAGAACCTGAAACACTGTAAATTTTACTATATTCTGGTAATTTTGACCACCTTTTTTCTCAGCGTGAATGTAAAATCTAAATCAATTGAAAAAAGTTTCCTGATCTCAAATGAAGTGGGCTACATGTAGTAACACAATAATTAAGTTACTTGAATATCGTGTTTCATTTTTCACTAATTTTCTAAGTAAATCATTAACACAAAAGAGATTTATTTTCTAATTACTTTTCTTGCTTCTGTATATAAATTTAATGATTTAACTCAGCTCCTTCTAGTAAAAATTACCCTGAGTAACTCTTGTCATAATGTTCGCATTTCGATATCAATGGTTTAAAGAGTTAACTTCAAATATGATAATTAATTAAGGCTAACTATTAACTAATTTATCTAAATAGGCAAAAAAAAAGTAATTTCCTTAACAAAATAATATTTTTGATAAATTTTAATTCCTGATTGATAATTTTTGATGTTTATTATAGTCTGGAAGAATGATTCAATTAGTTTATTACGGAGAACTATCCTAAAACAGAGCCTTTGAATCTTAATCTCTATTTCTTGCGTTTTAACCAATTTTCTTTAACTAGTTGGACAATTAAGGAATTCTTTCACATTGCTTATAAAAATAGTTAACCCAAAGATATTGCCATGGAAAGAAGTTTCAATAATTGCTTATTATTGTTTGATTATTTTATTTATCAATAGTTGGAACATTTTTAGACGTAAGATTGTGCATTTTAAAGAACAATTATGCAAATTTAATGGACTCGATCAAAATGTTTCTGGGATGTAAAAAAAGTTAATTAAAATAAGTTAAGTTTTTTAAAACTATAACTCTCTTTTACTGTTACTTTCTTAAAAACCATTATGTCCATTTCGCTTACAGTTTGCTTTTTTTCATGTATATTTGCAAAGTTAAAAATCATTTTAAAATAAATATGTCTTTTTCGATTAATAAAATAATAAATATTAAAGCATATATCTTTAAAAAAAGTCCTAAAACTATATTTGGTTAAACAAATTTCATAAATATGTGCAAGAAATTTTTGGTTAACTTAAAATAGTTTTGAATTATGACAAAATAGTGAAAAAAAGAGAAATTTTTATTAAATGAGATCAAAATTTTCAGCCTCTTTTCTAATTAAATTGAGTTTTAGTGGATAAAATACCAATCTTAAATAAATGAATAAAAGTTATTCTGATTATATTTTCTCTCTCTCTCGGTTACTTATTTACAGAGCAGAAAATAAACATGATTTGTATCCTAATAAAGTGAAAGTATTACTTACAATTTATAACTTAAATTTTATAAATTTTATTTTTTATAAATTTAATTTTAAAAATTTTATTTTATAAATTTTATTTTATAAATTTTATTTTATAAATTTTATAAATTTTATTTTATAAATTTCATAAATTTTATTTTATAAATTTTATAAATTTTATAAAATGCTTTATTTTATAAATTTTATAAATTTTATTTCATAAATTTTATAAATTTCATTTTAAAAATTTATAAATTTGAATTCCATAAATTTTAGTTCTGTGTTCTTAACAGTTTAAAAAATAAATATAACCATTCATAATGAGACAATCACAACAAAAATTTTTAATGTAAATAAAATTCAATGACACAATTTATTCAAATAGATTAAAAAACAAGAGTGAAAATAAGTTGCTCAACTCTTTATTCTCTGTTCTGTAATAATATTTCGCTAAATTCAATCGATGCTTATTTTAAATCTCAAATAAAAATATAATGAGAAATTTAAAAGTTAGATAAAGCATATTTATTTTAAAATACTAGTTTGTAGTTATAGTTACTTGACATACTAAAAGATGTAAATAGTAGAAGCTGGAATTTACTTAATTTAAATAGTTTTGTGTCAGAAAAAATATGTTTTTGAACTAGTATAGAATGTTTAGTTTTGTGTTTCATAAAAGTATTTCATTAATTTTTTTTAAATATTTTTATCAATATTTACAATGAGATGTTACCGTATCTTATAATGTCATTTAAAGAAGAATTTTGTTAGGTACATATCCTGAAGCAATGTAACGGAATTTATTATAAAATAAAACCTTTGGAAAAATCATGTTTTATTTATAAGTTGCCTTAAGACCTTTCACAGAGAAAAACAATATTACCGAAGCTATCTTAATTTCGTAAAATTCACTGTGTTTCTGACTCTTTGGGAAGACGAAAAGAGCTCTGTAAATTTACCTAAGAGCTTTGATAATATTGCTAAAAATAACAATAAACTATGATTTTAAATGTGATAAAATTTGTTAAATGCTGAAAGTCTGAGTAATTTTATCACGATACCTTGGAGCATAGCAAAAACAAAAGCCCATTTAATTAGTCAAGTTTTTTTTCACAGTTTTGTATTTTTCCTAAATGAGAGTATTTCATAAACTGAAAAAAGTAAGGTTAAAACTATCAGAATATGGTAAAATTGACTACGTTTCTAGCTCTATGAGAACACCGAAAGCTCAATAATTCTTACAGAAGTGCTTTGGTAATGAGCTTTGTAAAATTATCAGTAATATATTACTTTATAATTCATGATTAAATTTTATAATTTTATCATAATACCTTAGAGAAGGGCATGAAAACTATTTATTCGGTTAAATTTTTTTTTCCTTTTTTCTGGTTTATATAAAAATGTGTGGTACAAAGAACTATAATTTTGAAAACCAGAATTTTCGTTAAACTTTTACCATACAAATTGAAAATTTACCAAAGGAATGTTTTGATATTGCATAATTTGGCTTTTATTAATAGAATTACATTTTTTTCCTTTCTACTACAAAGA